GTGCAACTTAATTATTTCACCAAATATTTGTGTAATCATTTCCCTATAAAATAAGTAAATATAGCATATGGTATGGATTTTTATATATCCTATGAAATTCATAGACCACGTGTCGTCTAAGATAAAAATAGAAGAAAACTTTAAATACAAAGTCTCTTCCTCCCACTAAGTAGGCATTCTTGGTGTCTAGAACATTATTTTGTTTTCTTTGGATTAACGTTATCGTTTTCAATTCTCCACAATCATTTTTAACTACTTTATTATCTTTCTCAGTAAAAGGTCAAACAGAACATAATTAATTAGAACACAATTACAATATAATACTTCCTTCATTCATTTTGATAGGTCACATTTCGCTTATTAAGAGTATAAAAAATGATCTAAAATATCTTTAAACTATTACAACAGATAAAAAAAATATTGACTTATTGACTCCATAATATCTTCAGCATCAATCTTTACGATCCTAAAATGCCGGTATATATTTATTTTTTATCATATTAATATGAGAATGCTTATAATTTATAATATTAAAACCAAAAGTGTCAATCCCTCCATATCAATATGTTTGTCTGGTTTTGACTTGACATGAAATTTATTTATTTTTAAACGGACTTTTTAATCTTTTAGTCTTAAATTAAAGATATGTAGAAATTAGAATGTACCAAAAAATTCTTTAATCTTATGGTCTCAAACATGACGAGCGAAAAATTAAAATTAAAAAGTTATCTGAAAATTAACGAAAAAAGATATTCTTTTTTAAATGAACTAAAATGAAACAAACTGAAACAAAAACAGTACTAATTTCACATGAATAAGTTGAATAAGAAGTTTGTTAAGTCTACATCAGGTCAACAAATTAAAGTGAAAAGGATGTATTTATGTTCCCCTTATAATTAATAGCTAGCTAACACGAAGAAAATTAAGATTCCAAATAAATTTGTTAAACGTAAAGTCTGTCATGTACTCATGTTTATGACTTTGATAAGAAAAGAACCCATAAATTAGAAAAAAGAATTAATGGAACAAACTATTAATTAGACCAGTAAACAGTGCTTCCAATAGGAAAGAAGCAACACATGAGTTGTTCTTCCAAGATTATAATATATGGTCAATGCTTATTTTCTTGTCAATATCAAATGCCAAAGCTTTTTTTTTTTGTCTTCGCTAAAAGCCAAAAATTAAACGATAAACCTTTTGATTGTGAAGTCAAAGAAGTTGGGAACCTAAAAAAGGCAAAATTATCTCTACGAATCTGAACAAATGTTTATGCTATATCACTGCAACAAATTCAATTATCAGGGACAAAAAAAATTCATCATTTATAAATCATATTTTGTCACTAAAAATCTTGTGAGACGAAAAATAATTCGTTAATCAGTTGTCACTAAATGTGTGTCGCTAAAAGTATACAAAAATGATTTAGTGCTTCGTCGCTAAAAGTATTATATTAACTACAAAAAGAAAAATCGTCTCTTAAACATTTGTGACAAATTTATTTGTCGTAATTTTTATTTTTTTTAGTTAATAGTATGCTTTGTCATTAAAAAGGTTATTACTACTGACAAAATTATATCGTCGCTAATTATTTTACTTCAATCAGTGACAACATCAATTGTCTCTAAAGTTATATGTATTTCATAGTTGAACAAAATCTAATTTTGTCACTAATGACTATATTTTATATACAAAAAAATATTTTGTTCTTAAATAAATTAATTAGGGACAAATTTATTATCATAAAAAAGGTTAATTTTCCTATTATCTCTCATCTCAATTTTTTTAAATCCTCCCCAGGAGCTCCCACATTATGCTTCCTTGGGGACTCAAACTCACAACCTTAAGGTTAGAAGTGATGAGTGTTTACCATCCGATCAACTATCTTTTGTCTCTCATTTTTATTTTATTTTTTAACTTCATTCACTTCTTTCATATTTAACTTCTGTAGAAATGATATATTATATCATTATTTATACACATACAAAAATGCATGAAATTTACCACCCACAATTCATTCAAATGTAGATTTATTTTAATTAAACTATATGTTTTTAAAAATATCTTTAAATATATTCAATACGATTCTGTCATTTTATTTATTTATTTTTATAAATTTTAAAAATTATTCAGTACAATTATAAATTTATATAAAATTAAACTTTCAATTTTATTTCAAAAATTGAAAAATCGGTTCAATTCGATCAATAAATCAATTGTTTTGAAAAAAAAAGCATTGATACCCATAACTATAGTACTTCATCGTAGTATATTTGAAATCCTATTTAGTTCATTTCTTTTATTTGTGCTTTCATTTTTTAGTTTATTTCAATTTTCAAACTGATGAAAAAAGTTAATAGAAATTCATGAAATATTTCGCACCTTTGCAAAGTCTAAGTTTGTAAGTCGATGGTAATTATGTATAGTTGCTCTACGCACGTATGTGGAATTACTATTAAATATGTACATATTTTTAGACAGAAGCAACTAGATCGACTTAGTCTATGCAATTTACCAATCACAAATCAATAGACACACACAAAAATTAGCACGAAGACTTGAGAAATTATTTTTTCGATTGTCTTTATCGATGAAAGTGTATCAAATAAAAAATAAAAGTGTTAAACCAACAAATATTAGTGATCTAGTGGTAGAATCGTACCCCCACTCACGGTACTTATAACCTGGATTGTATTTTTCAAATGATGCATTTTATAATTACGTAATTTAAGAAAATTGATGAATTGAACTTTTTTATTTTTACAAAATCGATCGAATTAGTTGGTTTTAATATTTTCCCTCGTCAAATAACGAATGGACTCTGTCTATTTCTTATGAAGCACTTGTATTAATCTTTTTGTAAGTTGTCACTTGTAATTATGAACAATTGTAGCGAAAAAATTTATATTTAGCTATGAATTCTTTTCGTATCAAATAGTTGAATTATTCACTGCAAATTTTATGTCGTCGCTATTTAATACCTTACATATTTTGTGACAATTTTTTTGTTTTCACTAAATCACAGATTGATTAGAGACAATAAAATCTTTGTCGCCAATTATTTATATAATTAGTGACGAAAATAAATATCATAATTAAATCTATTTTTTATAGCTAAAACTTATAATATTTAACTACGAACTCTAATTTGTCGATATTGTAACAACATATTCTTTTAGATGAAATTTTTTGGTGTCTAAAAATTTATAAATTTTAAGACAAAAAATTTTTTTGTCATGAATTAGATACATTATAAGTGACGAAATAATGTGTCACCGATAACTTTAAATTCGTGACTAACACTACTTAAAAAATGGCGCCAATTAATTTTTTGGTGGAAACTTTAGTGGACAAAGCTTTGCTACGGATTGTTATGTTTTGTCACTAAAATTACGTGTCTCATATATTTATGCACAAAAAGTAAATTTTGTCACTAAAAGTGAACAATTAGTGACAAATTTGATGTCGTAGCTAATAATTTTGTAGCTATATGTCATATTTATTGTAGTGGTATATGCTTGAAAAGAAAAAAAGGAAAATTATGTAATGTACAATTTGGACAATTAGTTTATCAATATGGTTGAAATATAAATAACCATATATATTTTGATTATTGTGTTTGTATATGTTGTGTATGGATATGCTTATTATTTGTTTGATATGTATATTTAATATTAAATATACACTATCTATACATTGTATACATATTTTATAAACTGATTGTTAATGGTATTCGGCTATTTATTTATTTATTTTGGCTTTTTGGGAAGTTTCAGTTTTTTTTTAATCAATGTCTCTCATTATTTCATCAAAAACAACATGCCAAAAATATAACGCTCTACTAAGTTAGTTTGGTGTTAGGGCGGGTAAATGAGTTGTTAGAATTGAATTTGGTTGAGTTAAAATAAATTGAATTAATAAATAAATTATTGCCCAATATTGCTTTTATAATATTTTAAATATCAATGGTACTTTATTTGAATGTCGTTTTTTAACTTGTATGTAATTATTTTTAAATAAAGTTACACATTTACTTATTTGGATTAACTACGGATATTTATATTTTGTCAAATCTAATTAACTTCAACATTACATGTTTGAAGTTGTTTTAAAATGAATAATCATATACATTTTTACACACTGCAATCTTGACTTAAATAGTAATTTCAAAATTGATTATATGTGCACTTTAACCTCAAAAATTAGTTAAATTGAGATAAGTCGAATTAAAATGAACTAAACAATGTGTCATGATACGAATCACTCAACTCTTACCACATTTTGTGAAGCATTTAGATAATTTTGTTGGCGAATAAAGATATGATCCTAAAATATCTCATAAATTTTTAAATATATTTTTAGTTTGATAATAAATATTATTTAATTTTAGGAGTATTATACTATTCTTAATAAATTCCATCTAAAGGTGTATATATAATTTCATTACATTAAGTTTGAATTGAATTAGATTTTTGTATGGATGAAAATTACTATTATAGACTTAATAGTTAAGGTGCAAGTGATGTAACGTAATTTTAAATTATAGTGATATTTATGTACCAACATGAGTTGTGGTGTAGTAGTGAGATTGTTTCACCCTTAATCAGAGGTTTCGATTCGAGCCTGGATATGAAAAAATCTTATTGGAAGCGTCACCCCTGAATAAGTACTGCAGTAGCCTATCCAAATTTACCGGATTGGAAACCAAAAAAAAATATTTATGTAACTATAAAAACTTAAATTCAAGATAAATAAAAAATTCCCCCTAATAACTTCATCATGGTTTATTTGTATAATCGAGGGCATTTCTGGTAACTTGAGTAACAATCCATTTTTCTTCTTCTTCAATCTTCACAGTTCTTCCCCAAATTTTAATTTTACAAAACAAACTTGCAGAATCTTCTTCCCCAGATTCATTTTCTTTGAGTGTTTATACGGGTTTCAAGGTGGAGTGTTGAACACTAATGTCATTGTTCTGAATTCTGTATCGCCACTAAGCTGAAATGGAAGCCATGGTAGTTTTTTGAATTTTTTTTTGAATTTCATCAATTTTTTTGCCCCCAATTTGATGTTATCTTGCCATTTTTAACAATCTTGTTGCTTCAAATCAGTTGTTTGGAAGTTGAATGTGTGAATCTTGGTGAAGTAATAATGCGTTTTGAGTTATTTGCTGCTTTAATCGCATATTAATCAGTTAATTGTATTTGATTATGTTGTTGAACTTTATTTATCTTTTTCTTTATTTGTAGTCCACGGAAAAGAAATTAATTACGAGAGATGATTGGGAGAAGAGGCTAAATGATGTAAAGATTAGAAAAGAAGATACAGATAGATTGGTAATGAATTTTCTAGTTACAGAGGGTTATGCAGAAGCTGCAGAGAAGTTCAAAATGGAATCAGGGACGGAACGTATCCTTATGTCGAAAGATGATCATGTTATGTTTTATACAAATGTGTATGTTATTGTTTGCGTATTTTGTTTATCCTTATGTTGTTAATAGCTGAGATTGATCTTGCTACCATCAAGGACCGGATGGCTGTAAATAAGGCTGTGCAGTCTGGTAATGTGGAGGATGCAATCGAGATGGTTAACGATTTGAATCCCGAGGTATGCCTGCTGATTATCATGTACATATGGCTAGAATGATAACTCACAGTATAAACACATCGTCTATCTAGTGGTATAGTTTGAGTTTCTTGTGGTTTGCATGTTTTTGCTTTTTTGATTCTTATTATATTTGATGATATACTCTTTATGTTAAACATGGTAAAGCTTTCATATTCCTTTATGTGTGTGTCTGAGAGATAGATAGGTGATCCGTTAGCTGTATGTGTTAAGAGTGACATTCCAAAAGAAATGATAGCAAACAGGGAAGTCATTAGAACAGAAGATGATGAGGAACTATTTACAGTGCACAGCTGCGGAGAGCACTTCTTTTTTGTGACTCAGTAAAAGAAAACAATTACTGGAACAATTTTCAAGGCACATCAACTTTATGAATCTTGATGCCGCTGAAGACAAATGTTCATTTCTGTTTTCTGTTTCACTCTTTACTGTTTGCTCATCAATGATTAGAAGAGGGAAAAATGTAGGGACTCAGTATTAGTCTTGTTCTAATTTTGTAACCTGACATTCGATTCAGTTAAATGAAGGTGTGGATGTGATCCAACACTTATCATATACAGTTCCTTTTTGTATTTTTTCCCTGGACATGTGTTGTGTCTTCTTGCATGCACCTTGACTGATCCTCCTAGATTCAAATCATGCATCAACGATTTGTTTATCTCCTTGGGGACAACAGTCTTCATAGTTCTTATAATTTATATTTCCCTTTTCCTTTGGGTTTGTCCTTGTTATCTTATGATTCTGTCCAGAAGTTAATTAAATGTCCGTGTTGCTCACTTCCCAGTGGAACTATTAAATCCTAAGAGAAGTATATAGTCTTTACTGCTAGCACATTCCATCAGTTTGTGCAAATGGTAAATGGAATCTATTAGTCATTCTTCTTAACCTGTCTTCTAATCTGTGTTAAGATACCATTGACCCTTGTTCCAGAGGATGTGTTAATCATCTTCTGAACTTTTTTTGTTTGTTTCTAACTGATGGTAACAATAGCTTGGCCCTTGTTATTTTGACTTCAAAGCAAAGCTTTCCTATATGAGCTTGAATTCTGCCTGAAGTCTCCATAAACTCCAAGGTCAAGTATTAGTCGCATAATTTTTTGCTGGGATATGGATCTTAAGAGTTCTGATCAAGAAACTGCTCGAGCAAACTTTTATGAACATATAACTGAGGGGACGATAAATTGCATTTGTTTGAAATGACCATAGAGTATAGAGAAGCTCTTTAATATAAGCAGATAGCATGAAATAGACAGCTCTGTCCCTTGAGGGGGTTGGTATTATGTAAGAGAATTCTTCATCTGGAAGGTTTATGGTTCTAATGCAACTTTTTAAATTTGCAGTTAAAACCTAAAGAATACAAACAAACACATAGGAATTGAACTCACTCAGTTCCTTAGTATGCTAGGTAAAACTTTGAGCAATTAAAGCATTTGAACTCACTCAGTCACTCTTGGAATCTTGTTAGTTTTACTTCAGTAAACATATGTTTGAAGTTTGCTTTATTGTTGTGCTATCCTTTTCTTTTTTCTTTTTGCTTTCTACGTCATCTCTAGCTTGTGCCTCTTCTCGATAAAATATATTTTTTGGATAGAGCTGAAGGAATACAAAATTGACGATAGAAGATCCTGATGCAAACTGTCCAAAATTATTGTCTTACCTTTGAATATTTGAATCCTTCCTATAGAAAGTCTATGCAAACTTCTGGTTTGGTTAATGACATGGAAACCAGTTTATAATTGTTGTCTTAGATTAGAATTAGACCATACGGACCATAATCTAGTTTCTTACTGTTGGGACCGCACGTACCACCACCCTAACTCCACATTAGTATGATATTGTCCGCTTTGGGTCAAGCCCTCACGGATTTGTTTTTGGGCACATCCCAAAAGGCCTCATACTAATGGAGTTGGGTGAGCACTTATATATTGGTACATTTCTTCTTCTCCATCCGATGTGGGATAGATTTGTTACCCAACAATTACTTGGGATGAATCTTCTAACCTGAGCTATTATGCATGGCAATGGGTTCCAGGCCCCTATTATCTTTTCTTTTTTCTATTTGTCCCTAAAAAAATAGGAGATCATCTAATGTTGTTTCTATGTAGCCAATATCAATTTCCCCCGTAGCTGATATCAGATCAGGAACGTGATGTTCCCGAAGAATCCAAACGATGTTGAATTTTCTTTTTTTGGTTCATTGTTCTGTTATTTTGTGGACACATATGACGTATGCCTTGCCTTTTGTCTCTAGTATCTTTTCTCTTGTCATCTCATGAGATTAACACCCTAGAAAATCTTGATACTTGGAAGGTTATCACAAATGAGTGTTGCTTTTTAGGTTGTTTGAGTTGATTGTATTCTAAGTTTACCTTCATGAATGCAGATATTAGATACGAATCCCCAACTCCTTTTCCATCGCCAACAGCAAAGGCTGATAGAATTGATAAGGAATGGAAAGGTTGAAGAAGCTTTGGAGTTTGCTCAAGAGGAACTAGCTCCAATGGGAGAAGAAAATGTAAGTATTCATCTTTAAATACTATGTTTGAGATTTCCGTAAGTTTCTTTTTTCCAATGCAACATATATCTTCACTCAATCTATATTATCGAATGAGAAATGCAAGTCTTTGCTCTAACTCTCAGTCTAATTTCATATATCATCTGCATTTCAAATCTTGTCTGGCTGAACTTCATAGTTTCTGGACATTAAAACCCATTAACTGGGGGAGTTTTTCCATGGTTTTTTCTGTTTGACTAAATTATAATAACTCTATAGCAAAGCTTCTTAGAAGATTTGGAGAAAACTGTTGCATTGCTAGCTTTCGAAGATGTATCTAAATGCCCAGCTGGAGAGCTTCTAGATGTATCCCAGCGCTTAAAGACCGCAAGCGAAGTAAATGCGGCAATTCTCACCAGCCAAAATCATGAAAAGGGTTAGTCCCATTTTCATTAAAAAAATAAATTACTTGATCACTCCTGATATAGGCCTCCACAGAGTTCTGTGGGGAGAGCCTGATGTCTAATTTGGACATTTATTTAAAAATGATCATGGCACTAAATGTTTTCTTTATTTGATTATGCAACAGATCCGAAGCTTCCAAGCCTATTGAAGATGTTGATATGGGTACAGGACCAGCTTGATGAAAAAGTTTATTACCCTCGCATAACCAATCTGTCGACTGCAGCACTTGAAAATCCTGCTGTCTAAAATACGATGCAAGTTCCCTTCCCTGAATATAGATAAGGCAAGAAGACCTATGGTTGATTCATTTTCATTGATCTATGGTTTCTTAGGCATACGTTAGATTTGACAGTAGGATGTGCAGTTAACTACTCGATGTAAACAAACCTAGTTATACCTTCCTATCTTAATCACGGCTACACGAATTACTGAATCTGTTTGTGTTTTTCATAGTGTTGCGTTTGGAAAATTTGTGTGATTTTTTAGCTGTACTTATTCCAGCAAGAACTTGGAATTTGGTGGGTAAATGTACGTTATTTGATACACCACTAACTACTTGCTACTTCTGTTTTTAAGGTGGCATTTGCTTCAAAATACTGGTAATTGGCTTGCTCTTTAAAGGTAATTGATGATTAATGAAAAACTACATAATTCAATGAGGAAAGAGTCTTCCTTTGCTAAATTTGGGCATTTTCCTCAAATGGGCTCACATTGATATTAGGACCTCAAGTCCAATAAAGAGGGGCTCACTGTTGAAATGAAAAGTAAATGGCCCAATTAAATTATTTCAGCCCGCTAACATTATTTTCGGTACTTGTTTGGGGACCTAAGTCCCATTTTTGAAGTTAAGTATTCCTGATCGACTCCATTCTAGCCTCAGCTCGAAAACTCTAGTTAAGGATGAAAGGATACTTACGATCTTTTTTGTCAATAGACTTTCAATTCTGAATTCTTTGTTAATGAGCTGTTCCTCGAAAGCATATAATTGTGTTTATAGTAGGCCTGTGAAGTGCAAGTCATCAACAATAACATTTTTCAATATAATCTCACAAGTAGGGTATGAAGAAAGTACAATGTACACAATCTTATCACCTACCTGATAGAGGTAAATAGATTATTTTCGATAAACCCTCAAAATCTAAAAGTAGTTTGAAAAAAGAGAACACGGAAATGAAACCAGTAATTCGATTGAGTAAATACTACTGAAAAAAAGGTTGTGGTTTCTTGATAATAGCAAAATGTAATTGTATATAATATGTAAAGCACCGAATTTATGCTGGGCTCGACAACTACAATATTGCTAGATTCCCACATGATGTAATTTGCACCCTTTAATAGTGCTACTATATATAATTAGATATTATCTGATTAATTTATTGCTACTTAAAAAGAGTATCTTATTTGGATTTGCTCCCTTTACCTCTTTTGTTTCCTAACTTTTTCAGAGTGGGATGCACACCAAAGTTCATAGTGGGGGAATTCCCAGACCTAAAACTACTTACTATATTTTCTTGTGGGGTTAATTAAGCTATAAAAAAAATCCTGTTAACATAAGTACTCCTATTGGCAACCAAGGGTGAAGAGTGTGAAGGTTGAAGTGGTTGAGAACCCGTGAGGTTCCAGGTTTAAAACTCAATGGAGACAAAAAATATAAGGTGATTTTTTTTATTTGTTTGAGTTTTGGTGGACAAAGTTACATGGTACCTGTTGTTAGTGGGAGGTGGCAAATATTCCATGAAATTAGTTGAGATGCGTGAAAACTGACATGAGCACCACGTTCATTAAAAAAAGTACTCCTATTGAATAATATTACTTGATATGAAAAACTAGCATGCCATGATTATCACTTAGTCATCCGCTCCTACTAGTAATTTAATACAAAATTTTCACCTCCTGACTAATATTTAGTGATGGTAACTAACCTTCTCAGGAAAAAGTTTTGCCATGTGTATTCATATTTTTGTAATGCATAAATGTTTGGAAGAATGATTCGTTGTGATTTATCGGTCACGTGTTTGATGGTGTAATTAGCTACTAATTCTAATATCGGGATAAATATCTTATATCACATAACACTCTCTTTATAAGTGGCGATTCTTTCCCAAACCTGACATGAATACGGAATGTATAATGCATCGGATTGGTTTTTTATAAAAAAATAATAAATTTTTTTTTCCATGACTTTCCTCCCATATAACTGAGAAGTTTATTAGTAAAATATTTGACGGAAGTCAAAAGTGTTTATTTTTTGAAAAATTAAAAGGAGAAAAAATTGCTCAGGAATAATATTAAATGACAACTTTAAATATACCCCATATATAAGAGATATTTTTGTCATTTTCTAGCACTATTTACGCTATCGTCTAGTTGTTATCTTGTTGAAACAAAAATGATAAGATTTTGTTGCCCAGTCTATCAATATATGGCCCAAGAAAGAGTTTTAACGAAAGACAAAATTTAGCAGGCTACATGTGAAAACCATTGGATGATGTTTCTCAACGTTGATGGATGATTACATAATGAATTATTTCATGGGAGATATAAATTATATGTAAAAAAATTGGAAGTTTTCAAATATATGTTTGATTATGTGAATTTTATTTATATTTTTAAATGTTTGAACAAAATACCTCATAGTTTAGTTGAATTTTTTATTTTTTCGCCGAAAGAAATCTCTTGAGAGATGTTTTTTTTCTAGAATTGGGTTGTACATCATATTAAGGTTATATTTGAATTCTGTAATTCGTTAATGCAGTAATACTGTTAAGAAGTTCCACATCGATAGAGGAATGAGAAATTGGTCTCTTTGTGTGGATTTGAACAAATCTTCCTCGTGAACTAGCCTTTGGGGTTGAGTTAGGCTCATGTGTTTCTTTATATAAACTTGGATAAAGCTCTCTGTATGAGCTTGTTTTGGGGTTGAGCTAGGCCCTGCCAATCCCAATTTGTTGTTCACCAATGTTGAACCCTTATTTATAAGTGTTCACGCTCCAGTTGAGGTCCACATGTATCGGTAGAGGGATGGGAAATTGTTCCACATACGTAGAGGAATAAAAAATTGATCACCTTATATGAACTTGGACAAACCTTCCTCAAAAAAATTATATTCGATAAATTAACCTGAAAAATGTTTGATACTATTAAGATCCTTTTACTAATATAAAGTAGCCGTCTTAGGCTTGTGCCAAGTAATAAAAAAGGCAATCAGAAAGAACTAAAATTTTCGATACATTCTAATAAAAACATTAGATTACAAACATTGGAAGTTACCCTTAAAGATACTAACAAACAATTTTTCATAGTGTTCTCCGTCTTATCAATTAAAATCTTACATACATGAAAAACATATATTTCTTCCTAATTTGCACACAAAAATATATACTAAGTTACTAAAATTCTCATCACTTTTCAATTTTAAAAACATCGAGTGTGGGTAAGTATTTTCCAATCAAACTTATGGGTTCTCTTCCCTTTCCATCCCCATCTCGAGCAACACCGCGTTCACCGGAAAATTCCACGTCAAGGTACTCTATTTTTGCCTCATTCTGTTCAACAATTGTGACAAATGATGCCACTACTACAAATTGGATAGCATGTTATGATCCTTCTAACAATACTTGGAATTATGTTACGTCGATCCCTAATTTGCCCGAAAATCACGTACTCAAGGACTTTGCGATGGTATCAGTCTTGAATTCACTATATATTATTGGTGGTCGACTCTGTAAAAAAGAGAAAACTCAAAATGTTCAATATGGAATCGATGAATTTTTCGATAGGGATATTGATGTGATGTCATTGGTGTTACGTTACGATGTTAATTCTAATCAATGGTCAAAATGTGCACCACTTAATGTACCACGTTACAATTTTGCCTATGTTGTTGAGGAAAATAAAATTTATGTAGCTGGTGGGCAATCAATGTTGGGTAGTGCTAGGGGTACTTCATCAACTGAAGTTTATGATACTTTAATTGATGATGGTCGATGGACTTTATTGACAAATATGAATAGGTCAAGGTGCAAATGTGTTGGCGTGACGTGGCAAGGGAAAATCCACGTGGTTGGTGGATTTGTACAGGGTGGAGGGTTTTCGCAATATGTTGACCGTTGTTCAGCTGAGCTGTATGACATGTCAACGGGTGAATGGGACCTCGTGGCGGGGATGTGGCAGTTGGATGTGCCAGCTAATCAAATTGTTGAGGTGGATGGTAGGTTATTTAGCTCCGGGGATTGTCTTAATGTATGGAAAGGTCATGTTGAGGTCTATGATGGGAAACTTAACATATGGTACATGGTTGAAGGTTCACAAAATAATATTTTCCCCTTTGAAGAAAATGGACAACTTATTCATCGACTATACTTAACAATGGCCCCAATTGGGACACATTTGTACTTTTTGGCAGGTTATCGGACAATCGATGATCCATCAAAAACAATATCAACAGTATATTCATTTGACACATCAGCAACGAGAGGTGCATGGAAGAGCTACGAACCAATACAAGAGGAAGGAGAAAGAGAGCTATGTAGTCATTGTTGTGTTGTCCAACTCTATTAGCTAGGGTGAGAGACTTTCTTAAGCAACAAAAAAAAATGTTGTACAATTTAGGTATTGTACAATTTTGATTTTGTATCTGACTACGTATATAGCAGACGCTTGGTTCATCAGACTGTTTTGTTTTTTTAGTAATCATTATCTCTTGCTTTTCAAGAAAACATAGAAGAAAGAGTGTGGGGTAATCCCTTTTTCCTTCACTAGAGGAAACAACCAAAACATTATGGTTTGCTTAAAATAAGAAAAGAGATTAAGCAAACATGATTTGATTATGTCTTTCTAGCTAGGCCCCTTACTACTATAATAGGTCTTTAAGCTTTATATGACATTTTTTATGTTAGCAAATAAATTAAATGATGATGATGTTGGACAAATGTCCCTACTTAGGTCTATGAAAACAAGTTGTTTTGTTGACAATTGATTTTTCTACAAAATGTCAATTGCCATTAAGGACTATAAAAAGATTAAAATCAAAATATTTTATGCTTTCCCCTAGCTAGTTACTAGCATGAAATCTATTTTTAAAATTTTCTTTTTAGGGATTTGCCTAAGTAGTAGACTAGTATTAGTACTAGATTAAAAGATTTGGTGAGACTTATTAGTGTGTTAAACTATGATTAATTGCTTTTTGGCTTGTCTGCAATCATTTCACTAGTCTTCAAGATACAATGATGTTTCCTTCTTTTTTTCCTACCCGGTGTTCTGTATTCATA